CAATAAAGAATCGTCAACCGAGCTAAGAACTGCTGTCAGATTAGGGAAGCCAGAGGAATAGGACGCCTTTGGCCACGATTCGGGGGGATAAAGCTACCGAAGAGCGACGTAAGGAGGACAAATAATAAGAGGAACTGTCACACACGTAGTCGCCAGGTGAGAAAGTGAAATTGGCCTACGGTGAACTAATCTACCTCGCTTATTTTATTAAGTGAAATTGACTACTAGGGATTCATCAGGGCATCTTTTCTCTGGATGTCATTTCAGATTAGGTTTCAACTACTGCTGGAGGATAATTCCGAATGAGGTTTTATTATGTTGGAGAGGGGATGAATTTTTTTCCATGGCTTTGGAGTATTCAATGGTCAAAGCTCACGTCTGAACCTTACGATCACTCTTTCCCCGTTAAAAAATAACCGCGAATGGTATCTTATACAGAGAGTCAACTTTTTTCTCAGCCATGTGAAAAAATCAGAAGAGTAAATAAAATCTAAAACACAAATAATCACCGATCGTGTTATAAATACTCTCTGTTACAATTTTCATCTGCTTTATTGCATCGTCCGCAGCCATTTGCCACCTATCAATATTGATTACCAATAAGTTGCTGTCGCTCAACTATCACACACTGAGCACACCAATGCCATTGAGTATAATTGCTCAGTCACTGGTGGCATTTGACTGCCCTCCGAGGCGATGCTAACAGTAAACTGTGAGCCTCAGGAAGTTGAAATATCACGCGACACACGGCTCATTGTTACCCCTTCGGGAATTACAGCTCGGGGAAGGATACCCCCATGCCGAGTAAAATGTTCTGTAATATTCACCGATATGATATGGCATGACAACAAGTGGTCATTATGCACTTATCGATAACTGGACAATTTTTTGAGGTTAGGAAATTCTCTACGCGAGGCACGTAGGCTCAGGGTCAGTGATGATGACGTACATTATTTTTAATCTTGTTTGGAAGGTTAAGTATGATTAGTCCGAATGATTCTGTAATTTTTTTCCATCGTCGTTTCCGTAATTATAGTCTGGAGTGATTATAGATATTGAGATTTTTATCCGGAGACCATCGATTTTCTGTTGTGTGGGCACGCCTCCTTCGGTGAGCCACTTTTTGGGAGTTAATGTCATTTTTTCGATAAGTTTATCACATCTAGGGTCTGAAGAAAGTAATATTCAAAACCCTCAAATTTTTGTGGAATCACCGACACCCTTTTCAAAAATTTCACCAGTCAGGTGAAGCGCCAACTACCGGCCGTGTTGGGGTTCTCAAGTGCGATGGACAGGACATGGGAGTAGCAATAAGGGCCATAAATGGGTCATAAAGCAATTAGGGATCGAAGTATACTTTACGATCTTTTAATGTATTCAATAGGGCATCGGCAATTGTGGATATTTGGGCTATGTAGTATACCTGTCACGGAAATGACTTGTTCCGTAATTTTTCTCTAATTTTTTTCTCCGTGTGGAGCGAAATGTCATTTAAGGATTGACGTAAGCATCTTTTTTACAAGAATAATTTTTTTTATGGTCAAATGCCATGAAACTTTGGCAAAACGTTATTTGAACTATTATAAAATGATCGATCTATCGCTCAGCTCTTCGTCATATTGTCAATATCGATTTTTTTGGTTTTTTATGTTTTAGTTGATATCGACAATATGACAAAGAGCTAAGCGATAGATCGATCATCTTATAATCGTTCAAATAACGTTTTGCCAAAGTTTCATGGCATTTGACCATAAAAAAATTTACTCTTGCGAAAAACTCCCGCCAAAATTGCTGACGTCAATCTTAATGATTCATTGGGTGGAAAAATTATCCTCTTGTACAGTTAAATTTCCCACACCTGTATTTTTTTGTCTCGCACACATCTGAAGGTTGCGATGGAGTCTTAGACAGCCATCGAAAATTAATATTAGCAAAGTAGAATTTTAACTGGATATGACGTAGTTCAATGAGGGTACTCTACCTTCCTCCTTCCTACCCGAAGTACTGAATTTTGTATACAAATAAATGTCAGAATTATGGACTGAAGACTCAGATGATTCTACAATCACCATGCAACGTTATCAATGGCGCCCGAGCAGTACTAAGACCCTGATGTCTAACAATTCGAAATCAAACTCCAGAAACGAAATAATAACGAATAACGTCACAGCACGCAAATTATCATTGTCCAATATTATGAATGGAAGTGAGATTTTAGTGAACGCGTTCGATGAAAATTCATTTTCCGTTAGAGAAAAATTATACGCAATATTGAGCAATCATTCACGTTCACTGGGATAAATTTTGATGAAATCCCGGGTAAATTTTACAATTTCAGCACAAATTACCCTCACGTTCAGTAAATTTTCCCGGGCCAATGGAAAATGAATGTCTGAATTTCTCACACCTTTTGCAGACATTTTTCAGATACTAAAGAACGTCTGAATAAAATGTAGTTTTGTTTGAATTTCAGACGAACAGGTGCCTAAACATCTCAATTCATGTTTGAGATTCACATAAATTTTCATTTTATTCAGAGGTTTTTTAGTGTTTGAAAAATGTCGACAAAAGGTGTGTCAAATTCAGGCAATTTGTTTTTGCTGTGTACTGCAAATCGAGTGCACTCCACGATTACTTGACTTGTTCGGTAATTTTTCATTCTTAATTTGCCAGAAGAAGATAGTTTGCCCACTCATTGAAGAGAACGATTATAAATATTTATTTCGCCGAATTATGCACACAAATAAGACTTTTCCTGGTTTTTTCCTGTGCCATTGGCGCATGTCCAGCTTCTTCATTGTCAGGCGCCGGGTGAATAGCATCAGTCGTTCTTAGGTGGTCTCTTCTTGGAGACAGAACAAGGGAGAAGAGTGAAGCATCGCCGCAAAAATTCGGATTCAAAAAAATTTCGAGTTATTTTTTAGTCTCTAATTCATTCATTTCCAAATGAACATTAAGGTGATGATGCATTCAACTTACACTCTGAATCATTCATCCTCTCAATATTAGATTGAAGCATTTTTTTACTGTACTTGGAATACGTTATTACCCAAAACGCACGGAAGATCGAATTTTGCTCATTGGGATATTGACGGACAGAGAACGACACACTCGTGTATACTATCATGAATAATTCATTAGTGAATAGATTATTTCCAAGCTCCGCTACTGGGCTAATTGCATATTTATTAACAGGTGACAAAGTGTCTGGGCAAATGCAATGCAGAGTTCCGAAACATCTGCGAACGTCTTCCAACTCGAAGAAGATGTAACAACTTTGTACGGATATCTGATATCTGATGTAATCAAGAGAATCGTATTTCATTACCGCCGAACACGTACGAAAGAATAAAAAAGTTGCGAATTCACTAAAAAATTCTGTTGTATTTCGATTGCAAAATTTCGCAGCTTATCTGCGCGACTTTTTATTCTATGGAAAAGACATCATATAACTCATTTTATAGAGGTATTTGCTATCGAAGTTACTCGGCCGAATTTATCTCTTTTTCCTTTTTGAATTTTTTAAACTATTTTTTATATTGAAAAGCGAAAAACGGGAAATTACTCTTGCATATAGAATAGTCATTTTTGCTAATAAATTAGCAATATTTCATGTTATTAAATTAAATAAGATTTTTTTAATGTAATTTTGTCGGATTTTCAACTTGGTTGAATGGTATCAGCATCATTATTCTTATTATCCCTTTTCTTCTATACAACCGATTGTCTTTTTTACAGTTCTGTCTCTGCCTTCAGCCCTTCGATAAAATCAGTAGCGAAGTGGTAAAGTGGTACAAGTCAATTTTGACTATTGACCCGTTTTCAATGAATATCTCGGAATCTAACGGAGATAGCTCAATTTTGGTTATAACACTTTTTGTTGAGCCGGTTGAGAGCTACTACAAATGTAATTACAAAAATTTCGCTATCTCCCTTAGATTCGGAAATATTCCTCAAAAACTCAACTGGGAGATAAGTCGACTTGAACAGTTTTACCACTGCGCTACTGAAATGTTAATAGAGAAATTTTATTTACACATACTTAATTGAATTTGAAACATCACATTTGAAGAAACCATCAGAAAGCTCACGTTCAGGGAAATTCATGAAAAATTCGAAATTTTCAACGATCATCATAAAAATCAAATCAACCAATATAGCTATCATAATCATCTTTTAACTTCGACTTAATGGCATTAAAACAAACATTTAGAGCTACGATTGAATTCATTTGCAGCATGATATTCAAAGATATCCCCGGAATTCTGATTTTCGAAAAATACAAAGTTTTTGCAATTCTTCAAATAAATCAAAACGATTATTGCTATCGCCCTCATCTCCAAACTCGGTCAAAAGGACATCCAAACAATTTTTTAAAGCCATTATTCAATCAATTCAGAACATTTTCTTTTAGTTATCGTGGGGCAACCGATTTTCGAAACAATTCGAAAATTAAAAAAACTAATCGATGAATTAAATTTTAACTGATGGCGATCTATAGGGCTCAATAATACCTACATTTGAAAAACAAGGATTGAATTCCACCCAGTCATTAGCGAACAATTGAAGAAAAAAGAAAGGACGAGGTCTAAAAATTGCATTTTCGGACTTTTGGAATCATACTGGGTCGACATAACAAAAAAAAATAAAATTTGAATTTGAACGATTACAAAGGTTCCATTCGGTAGCAAAAAATCATCAATAATGAATAAATTCACTCTTCAGGCATTTAAAATTCATTTTCTGTACTGCTTCTCACGATTTCTCGTCTGGGAATTGGTATTACATACTTCCCAAACTCGAAAACTTGAAAATCACTACAGAAAAATATTGTTCCTGGGCTGTTGCGATGGGGTTTTTTTACTCGTGTGGTTGGCCACTCGTCGCCTACGGCTCGGAGGCCAACGCCACACGAGTAAAAAACCCCATCGCAACAGGCCGGAAAAATACTATTTCCCCGTTGAATCAACATCAGCACCGGCAAAAAACATTAATCTCACCATGTGTATCAAACTTCCTGATGATAGTCTCAATGATGGTGGTCCTCGGTGCAACGTGGCCCCGTCTGACAGGCATCTCTCCTCAATCACAATGAAATACAACCAAAGAAATATTTTCACTCTCCCCTCACAGCACCACAATCACTCTCGCAAATTTTCTAAAAAACCCTCCCCTCATTCAATTCAACGGAACAAAACTTGAAATAACAATGAGTTCATTCAGCACAAGAAGCTCTAGTTCGTCGCCGCCGTTTGCCCATCAAATTTATCAATCTAATCACTGCGTACTAATCATCTAATGTCAATTTATATTAATTTTATATTAATTTATGTAAAAAAGCACAGCACGAATTGAGCATAATTATTTTTATCAATAATTTCAAGTGAACGCACTCTTAAAACTCGAATGATTTATCTTTTATCATGAAAAAAGCCTTGTATACTCGAAAAAATGTTGAATCATCGATTGCTCGTCTCACTCTCCAATTTTATTCATCGATATTATTATTAGTATGCTTAAGTGCGCTGAAGGCCAATGTGAGACTTTAAATATTCATCAATTACTATAATTCATAATCTCGTGTAGTAAAATGCCAAGTGATATAGATTTAAAGAATTCACTATTAACTTTTTTTTTCAATTTTTCTTTTTCTTTATTTCGTTTCTTTTTATTTTTATTTTCCTTTAGATAAAAAGCGTGATGATGAATTTTTGATGCAGTGTTAACAGTGTCTGCCAAGATTCAACGCAGAATACTTTAACCTACTCAGTATTTTTATTTGCCAATGGAAATTTTCTTGCACCTTACGTTGTTTAATTCTCAATAATAAATTTTTAAGACACTTCTTTTTACATTCCCAGATACTCCTTGTATCTATCTCGAGGCAAGTCAGCTCCTTTGTTTACATCTCCAAAGCATTGTTTATTATTTTTTAATGAATATTCCTCCACGAGACTGCAGTGCACTCGCATCTATTTTTCTTAGAAATTGCGTTATGTTTTGCGTAACTCCACGTTTTTTTTTATGGAAGCGGATTTAATTGGACCTTTTGCTGCGACTTTCTGGGGCCATGGTGGATCCTTCAGCGGTTCGTGATTGTCGGAGAGAAAATAATTTCGGTGAGAATATTTTTTTCTTCGTAGAAGTGAAAATGCAATTTAAAGACCTCAATTGTGGGGAGATTCCGGAATTTTGTGGGTATCGAAGAGGGGATTTTCGTTGTCAATGTTGACAGGCATTTTGTTAATTGTCGAGTCGTTGGTGCTTGGCGATAAACCCTCGTAGTGCATTGTACGCCTGTGGACGATTGTCAAAAGGTCATCGTTGATTGTACGATGTAATAACTCGTTAAAACTCGACATTTCGTTTCCCTCTCAACAATAATTTTTAACAATTTTTAACTAGTTTTTCCTCTCGATTGTTTTGTTAAAATTATGCTGGGCTATTCTTCACTGTTCTAGGAGACATTATTCCATTGAATTTTAATTATTGGTGAGGATTCTTCGTGTCACTGTGGCAAGGCACGTGCTGGTGATTATTCAACATCAGAAATTATATTTCTCTTCATTCCCTGGAGATTTGATTTATTTTTTTGTTCAACGTTTGTTGTTCGGTAATGGCTTGTAGTCGATAAACGAAAATTTAAGTGAAAAATTTTTGGTCAGCTGTGCATTATCGGCCAGTGTTTTTCAGCTCAGGGACAGAGTTTATTTTAGCACACGTTTTTATTTTTTCCTCTTCGTCACATAAGTGTTATTTCGAATGAATAAGAAATTGCGATAATTTTTGAATTACATTATTCTCACATATTTCAATCACCAGTTGAGATACTCCACTCTGGGTTTAGCGAAGCAAAGGGGTAATTAATCATTAACTTGTTTTATTAATTACCGCAGAGTTGGTTTCATTGAGTGAGATTTTATTTTTTTTCTCATCGCTTGCAGCGGAAAAATAAAATCCCCCAATGTTTATGAATTTTATTTTTTATATTCACTATATTTTCGCCAATTCGATACCCGTTACTGTTATTACTGCAGAATGTTTAAGCATTTTTAATGGTCAGTGCGGATTTTTTTTCGGTGGCTTCGTACCCTCCGTGATTTTTCGCAAAGTTAATATTTTTCTCCCCTTTTTAAAAAATGTTTTTATTGTTTTTTAGTCCGAACAACGACGCGATTGGGACGAGGGAACGTCCCTCACTCGACGGCAGAGCTGAGCTAAACCAAGCGTCTAACAGATACGTATTGCAAGGGATTACCAAGCGCCTGCGCCAATTTACCACCCCCCACTGTATCCGTTGTCGCCGCTTTTTCGTTATTCGGACGCTAGCAGCAGTGGGGAAAAAGATTAAAAACAATAATAACCGAAAAATCCCCGGTGGCAATAATGATAAGACGGCATTTCAATGTTTACGATTATTTCGGCATTTTTTTTGGTGATTTTGTTTTTTGTTGACATTTTTCGGGACATTTGGTTTCACCCCTCGGTGAGAGTGCGGAAAAACAGAACTTTTTTTCGGGTCAACCGAGATAAGGCTGGATTTTTTTATTGGAGCGACGGAGGGAGAGTAAAAAAATATGCATGAGAATTGATGAGAGGTGAGAATTTTGGGCCGATAGGCGGGAGGGGAACGATAAGGAACAGACGCTGGGTGCCACCGGGAAGCGATTGATATAAAGTTTAACTGTGATTTTTTTATGACGCCGGATATAGGGTTTGGTGTACCACGTGATTCGGGAGGGAGAGGTCGGAGTGAAATAAATTCAGAAATCTCTGGGTGGTTGGTTTCAGGATATAATGGGGGAACTAGGAAGGCTGGGGTTTTAATGGCACTTACGAGTTTAAAGGGACGCGACCTAATTGGAAATGGTTTTTGTTTTGGTTATATTTTTTTTGTTTAACGTTGGAACCGACCTTGGGTTATGCTTTTAGAAAAAAATGAAATTTAGTAGACAATTGAGTACTCATTTTCAGGATGGTAACCGAAGAGCTACTCACTTTCGAAATTGCGGCGCCACTCTGGCATGATATCATTCCGAAATCACTGAAATCAAGTGATTTTAGCTCTTCGAAATCACGCGAAATCGTCTGAAATCAATGAAATCACCGAAATCAGTGGCGCACTGGGGTAGTATGAACCGCGCAAGTAATTCGTGATTTTGAAATTGACACACCTGCCAACGATGATAATAAAAAAACCCGGTGGCTTGGCGCAGTGCGTACACTGATAGAACGGATTAGTTATTGTTAACGAATGGATTTTCGTTGGAGGTTAGGGTCTATTCGGTCTCATCAAATGTTCATTCGTTAATAGTTAACGAATGTATATTTGAGGAGCCTCGTTTGACTTGACTTTCCCCATTCAAGTGAACCATTCGTTAACTATTAACGAATATTCATTTGGTCATATTCAACTATACCATTCGTTAATAGTTAACGAATCTCGTTTGGAATAAATGAATCATTCTATCAGTGTAAGTTCATTGCCTCACATGCGAAAGGTTCCGAGTTCAAATCCCGGCGGGGTGGAACGGTGCTATCTAATCATTTAAAGTCTTGATCATCATTGCACTATACCCTAACCGGGCCGAAGCGATTTAAAATAACGATTAATGAAAAGGGTCAGAAGTGGTTCCAAAGGTCATGAAACGTGGAGAAATGCTTAAATTTCCACATTCGATTTTCGGGGTCATTACAATAACTTCCTCCCTTCGGATCGGGAAGTTAAAAAAAAAGATAATAAAATGCCGTACTCACTGCCATGGCAAAATGGTAAAATGGACCGCTCTTCATCGTCATTAGCTTAAGATGGGCGGAGTACACGGAGAAAATAATTCCAGAATTTTTCTAGAGAAATTCAGGCAAAAATTACCGTGCCATCTGGTAAAGTGAGTTCAATTGTCTAGCACCAAAAAAATTCCGGTGCTGCATAGTAAAAATTCCTGTACCGCACAATAAAAGCCTGATCCCTATTTTCTATTGCATGATAAATTCCATTCAATAGTTAAAAATGAGTAAACATTGTCATTCAGCATATCATCATATTAATTTTTTTTAACCTCTCCTCCATATCCTCTCTCCCATATTAAAAGCGGAATGCACGGCAAACGTATGTGAAACGTTTGACAGGCCAATGTATCTCTACAGCGTTATACACCTCACGGAGAGAAAATAAAGGGCACTTATTTTATTTCTTAACCGTTTTATCACAACACTAATTAATATTTCAGTGAATTGATATCATGAAAAACATTAACCTGGGGTTTCAGTGGGGCGATATGTGAGAGAGGAGGCTAGAGGAGGCGACGGAGTAAATTATCTGGTCACGTTGAGATGATGTTCGCGGATGCGC